AGTGGGAAGTGCTGTAAGAATAGACATGCTTCCTGAAGCTTAGTATATAATATATGGAACCAAAATTGGCCTACTTGCCTGGTAGGGACTGAACAGAAACTTGGATGTCTGTCTGGAGAAAGTGCTTGTTCCTGACCAGTGTCTTGCCTACTGAGTTTTTTCTGAAATCTCAGATGGTTACTGTGTGCCTTCTGCATTTGAAGAGTTGTTAAACAGTTACTGAAGTGAGAGCCATGCAAACTGACTGAAATGATCATCTTGCTTTCTCACAGCACTTCTCTGTGGAAGGGCAGTTGGAATTCAGAGCTCTCCTGTTTGTCCCACGGCGTGCACCCTTTGATCTGTTTGAAAACAGGAAGAAGAAGAACAACATCAAGCTGTATGTACGCAGAGTTTTTATCATGGACAACTGTGAGGAACTGATCCCTGAATATCTGAGTGAGTATATTTTTGAGGAAAATTTTTCCCAAGACATAGATAAACTGCTTAGCAATTTTGTAGTTTCCCTTCATATTTAAAGAAATTTGAGGGGGGGAAGACTTGAGTCCTAAACAGCTGATCAGGAAGTACCTGAGCAGTTGAAAGTACTGCTTAGTTCATGTTGTCTAGAATCCAGTAGAAACCAATTCATCATTTTAAAAGGACAAAGCTAATTAGGTGGTAACTGGTAATCTTGTTTTTTTGAGACCTGCAATACTAATTCTCACTGTCCTCTTCCAGATTTCATGAGAGGTGTGGTAGACTCTGAGGATTTACCTCTGAATATTTCTCGTGAAATGCTGCAGCAAAGCAAGATCCTGAAAGTGATCCGGAAGAACTTGGTGAAGAAGTGCTTAGAACTTTTCACTGAGTTGGCTGAAGACAAGGAGAATTACAAAAAGTTCTATGAGCAGTTCTCCAAGAACATCAAGGTTTGTAGTCTTTCTGTTTAATAATACTCATTGTAGAAGCTACAGATTTTTGTTGTGCCTGAAATACTAGACTACCACAAGTTTAGTATTTGTCTAAAGGAATTTTAAGACTTCAGTAGCTTCCATTTTTTTCTTCTACTTTTGTAGCTTGGTATACATGAAGACTCCCAGAACCGCAAGAAGCTGTCAGAATTACTGAGGTATTACACATCTGCATCTGGCGATGAAATGGTTTCTCTGAAGGACTACTGCACTCGGATGAAGGAAAACCAGAAACACGTCTACTACATTACTGGTGAGTCGGTAACAAATTGTCTAAATGTAGGTACCTACATAGGATTATCTTTTTGGGGTCAGAAAATGGAAAATAATCATGGCAGTTCTCTTGGTAAATATAGAAAGAAAGATAAGGGGCACCACATTGTGCAGGGCATGCTTGTCATACTTGTTATAGTGGTTACAGTTCCTTAATATGGTACTATGTCCATGAGGACATCAGGACTAACTACAGATAAAAGTGCTCCTTGCACAGCTAGCTTCATCAGCATTTTTTTTCCCCTGTAAGCTCCGAAAGTATGTTTCAGTCTCTGAGGTGCCTTTAAGATAGCTTTGTGTTCAGGCTTTAGCTAATAATATCTGGCCAGGAGTATCTGAATTTTTAAGACCTAATGCTCAAACCAGTTTAACTGTTCAGGCATCAGATACTAAGGCTTTTTTCAAAATGCAAATGCTGTTTACAGGGCTTCTCAGTTTACTTCCTTGGCAGGGATGGGAAACATTTCTCCACCTGGTTTCCCAGGAAATACAAATCTGCTTTCAAACCAGTGGAATGTTACAAGCTATGGTGTCGGTTTGAAAGGCTTGAGTCTCTTCAGGCCAGCCTCATCTTTGCAGTACCTTGTCATACCTGTTTTGTGCCCCTTGTTTTTCCCTGGTATGGACATCCAAGTATCACTGGAAATGCTGCATAGGCTCTTCAGAAGACATGTTTGTCTACCATGTTACAGTGCTGAGGCTTAACCCACAACTGGTGTTCTTGATTTTTGCAGGTGAAACAAAAGATCAGGTAGCCAACTCCGCTTTTGTGGAGCGTCTTCGCAAACATGGCCTGGAAGTGATCTACATGATTGAGCCTATTGATGAATACTGTGTGCAGCAGCTGAAGGAATTTGAAGGCAAGACCCTGGTTTCTGTAACAAAAGAGGGTTTGGAGCTTCCGGAGGATGAGGAAGAGAAAAAGAAACAGGAGGAGAAGAAAGCCAAGTTTGAAAACCTTTGCAAAATAATGAAAGATATCCTTGAAAAGAAAGTAGAAAAGGTAATTGGTAGTACTCAGTTTGTATACAAGTTTAATGATCTGAAATGAAGTTGCTGCAGAGAAGGCTCGGGTAATGGTGTGTTACAATTGAGTTTTCTGAAAGAGACAGCAGTCTTTCTGCAAGATACAGCTTTATAGATACAAGGTGGCTATGTTTTTCAGTGAAGCTGAGTGGTTCTGTTGAGTTGGTGTTGCAAATTCTTAAGCTCAATCTCATGAGCCTTGGGTCTTGGTGACATGCAGCAGCATTTCAATGTTGAACCTTGCTTAAATCAGTGGGGATAGTAAATCAAGTATATGTGTTGAAATGTTAAATTGCAAACTTTTGCGTTCATTTTTCTAGGTGGTTGTCTCCAATCGTTTAGTTACTTCTCCATGCTGTATTGTAACAAGTACATACGGCTGGACTGCCAATATGGAGAGGATCATGAAAGCGCAGGCACTAAGAGACAACTCCACAATGGGATACATGGCAGCAAAGAAACATCTGGAGATTAATCCTGATCATTCCATCATTGAAACACTGAGGCAGAAAGCAGAGGCTGATAAGAATGACAAGTCTGTGAAGGATCTTGTCATTTTGCTGTACGAGACAGCACTTCTGTCCTCTGGCTTCAGTTTAGAAGATCCTCAGACACATGCCAACCGCATTTATAGAATGATCAAACTTGGCCTGGGTAAGTTAGCAGTCTGTCCTGTCTCCAGTAAACTCTGGGTGTGGTTATGTGCCCTTGCAGGGTACCGAGTGTCTAGAGATCACCGTGGTGCTTCTTTGTACCTGTGGAAAAGGGGGGATCTTAAATGGGTTGAAGTGTTAAGGAGAATATAGCTCTGAGTTCTGATACCAGCATTGATGATACATGTGTTTTCTGAACAGGCATTGATGAAGATGATACTGCTGCAGAAGAAGCCAGTCCAGCAGTTACTGAGGAGATGCCACCTCTTGAAGGAGATGATGATACATCACGCATGGAGGAGGTGGATTAAAACAGTTTATGGGAACTCATGAATGTTTCCTTGGCTAATATGAATAAGTTATATTTTGTATATTATGAATGTTACCTGCCAAAAAAAAAAATCTTTGACACTTTGTCTGCATTCCCTCTTTATATTTATTTTCAAAGATGTTATACCTTTATTTTTGTTACATTGCTTTTTCAGCTGATGTGAGATACAAATGCCATTGAGGGAATATTTTCTTTAACACTGTACAACCCTAAACAGGCAAGTAAGGAGTAGTTATTTTTGTCTGTATTTAGCTGGTTGCAGGTGGCAGGGTTTTTGACTTATTCTTAATTGCCAGAAATGTGGGAAAGAAGTAACAAAGATGGTATGACATCAGGATGTTCCAAGTTTGTTTAGTGTTATACAGCTCTTCAACTCTAATCTAACATACAGTACCTAGTAACTAGGTATCTAGGAGAGCTGAAATACTTGGGGAAGCTTTAACCCTTTTGCTCCTAACAAGGTCTTGATGTTTAAAGTTGTTTTTTATACTGTTTAAGGATTCTGGATTGCACTCTACCATAGAATAGAATCCACTGTAAATCTCTATTGTGACTTATGCAACTCTGCATGTACAGTTCAAACCTAGAACTGTAAGAATAAAAGTGTTAAGAATGAGTTGTGTCACTGACTTGTCTGTTAACGCTGGGAACAAAACCTGCTGTTCTTGGCATTCAGCTTCTGCTTTGGATCTTGAGTGCTAGATGCTGTCTTAAGTCTAATTAATACTGCATGCTCTGCAATGCCACTACAAACTAGTACCACATAAAAGCAGAAAAGTCAGTTCTCAAAGATCTCAAGACAACTTTAATTTCTGAAAAAGTGATTATTTGCCGCAAGTTAAACCTAACTTGTGTTGATAATCCAGGAATTTTTTTAAAAACTTTGCCAACGGAGCTAGGCTCCTAAAGCTGCAAGCCCAATTAATCATGCCATACTGAGGTGATGAGTTTTCCATGTGAAGTGAGGTAGTCAGCACTACATCATACATACAGACTTATAAGAAATGACTATGTTGCGCTGCATTCTGTATTCCTTGACCTTCCTGTTTGAAGGAGAGTAGTAAAAGGAAATGGGAGTTGTTAATAGCCAGATCCAGTGACTTCCCTTGCCTGCCAAGCACTTAATGCAGGTCAGATACCCTTCACTGACTTCAGACTGATAAGGTTTGGTACTTGTAAGAAGCTGGAGTTTAATGAACTCCTCAGGGGGAGGGGGAGGGACAAGTTCTGACCATCTTGCCCCTGTTCTCTGACTAGTCTTTAGTTTCCTAGATTTGCATCTGTTCTTCACTGCTTCATAACCAATATTTGGGAAGCAGAGCTCAATGTAAAAAAATTTACATATGATGGTGTGTTTCGGCTTGCTTGTAATCCAGTGAAAGGACAATTGGTTTTGGTTGTAGCGGTAACTTTAAGGTACTGAATCAACTTCAGGCAAGCTAATGCAAAGTAGTTAGTTGCACAAGTTCTGGGTTCCTAAGGATACTATGACTTTATGTCAAAGCAGTACTCTCCTGGGGGTGGGTCAAGTCCCAATTTATGCTTCACTTGTAGGATAGAGTGGTGGATATGTGAAGGCAGTGCTGTGCTCTGATGAGGTAAGTGGCCTTACAGCAATCACTTCAAACTGACCTTTTGTCTGTCAGTTTGAGACTGATGTGCTCACATTCTTGCAAATCATTCTGAATTCTTTCCAAAATGAAACTAAGTAAGGGATTGGATATGAAAATAAACCTGCTTCAGTACCACTTACACAATTGCTGAAGGGCTAATGTGCTTCTACACCCCCAACTGCTGCGCTGACATACCTTGTATGCTTCAGACCACGCTTGCATTAGACCAAGTTACTCCAAGAGGGAGATACAGTAGTAACTCGGTGGAAATGGATGCTGCTTGCCTTTGACAGTTAAGAATCAAAGTTTAGGAAAGGAAACATGCCTTTCAAAAACACTTTCCTCCAACAGGTCCCAGTGCTTTACATCCCCTGTTGTGTCCAAAGTTTGTCACAAAGCTTGTTGCAGCTCATGGTGACTAGAGTTCATGTGTCACCTACAAAATAGTTTGAAGTCACAGGTCACTACATGTGGGGTGTTTGTCCTCCCCACCTGTCACTCTGTTATGACATGTCCAAAATTGCTTCAAATTATGGGTATTTCCAAAAGACTGGAGGTCGGTGTTACCATGTTAGTGAAAGTTAGAAGCAAGGTGAAGGTGTAAGCAATGTCAAAAAAAGTAATTCTCTCGGGCAGTGAGGCAAGAGATCAGTTTCCCCCACCAGCCTGGGGGTGAGGTGAGATCTAATTAAATTTCAGTGTCACTGTTCCTAGTCAATAGGTTTTCGTTCTGCTGTAAGCCACCTGACTAGGATGAGGTGTCTCGTGTTCCATGACCACCTTGTGCCATAGCAGTGAATATGCTGTTGCTATAGTAATGAGTATGACATCAAAATGTGGTCTTCCAGCTTGTAAGAGGGGTTGCACAGTTAGCAGTGTGTACATCAGTACTGACTTGCAGTTTGGTGCATGGATGGTAGAAGTAATGATCAGAAGGTAAACACCTCCACCTTGGTGATGCTTAAATGTTGAAAGCTATGAGGATGACATTTCAGTCTGCTTTGGGTAATTTCTTATAAGGTCTCACTGGCAAAAAATTGAGTAGCATTGTACCAAAACTAAGGACTTAAAATCACGTGGATTTTAAGGTACATGTGTCTTGTGACTAAAATCTGTTTTACAAGATCTCTTGCAATGTGTAAAAAAATTGTGAAAATATCTTCCAGTTAGTATGTTGAGATCTAGACTTTATAGTGACAAAAAATGCTAGAGGCAGACTTTTCCAGTTTGTCACTGAACTGAAGGCTCAAGTCTTACACTCAAGTCTTTACCTCCCTTGAAAACTAATTCATCTGTTCGTTAGAGAAAAATTCAGGTGAAACTTGTGGGTTATCTCCAGTATTTCTTGCTGTGAGAATGTATTGGTGTTTTGAGTCGTTTCCTGCCACTACGCTGAGGAGTCATGCACAAAGGACACAGCGGCAGTGGGTTTTGCTTTGGCACAGTGCGGAGCTCCCCTCATTGGCCACCTTTTTACTGAAATACATTTTAGGAAATAAGGATGCTGTTATCAAAAGTTCTCTTGCTAAGCTGCCTGTAGTAGCAGTTCACGGTCTTTGTTTTCTCGCATTTTGTACTGTTTTTAACAGTAAATAAAAGTGTCACAGAGCACCACAGTGGAGTTTAGGAATGGCTGGGTGCCCTAATAATAACTTCACTTTTTTTCAGGGCTCTTTGACCCTATGGTGAGGCTCACGGTACAGTACTGGCTGGGGCTTACAAGTTCATTTCTTCTAAGCAGAAATGCATGACAAAGTTCACTGAAGAGTTGGGTACTGATATTAAAACATGTTCTGCCGTATTGGAGCTGCAGAGCAGTGGAGCAAACAGCTCTTAATAAGTGGTTACAATAAAACTTGGCACAGCTTCGTGTTATGCTTCTAACATCCTGGTTGAGAGCTTACACTGCTGACGATTGGAGGTTTCATTGAAGTTCATGAGAACATTTTCCTATCGACAGTAGTCTTTTTGGAATCATGCCAGCGTTAAGGCATTGGGATACCAAATTCAGAAGTACTTGATTCTGCTGCTCTCTCTGGAAGGAAACTACTCTGTACGTGGAGAGCACATTTACTATGTATATGGATTTTTGAACCTTAGGAGATGAAGTGCTGGTGCCCCTGTTGCTCTAGTGAAAGTTGTGTTGTACAGTCTTAATTTTGGATGGCAGCAGAGAAGAAAAATGGCTTTCATTGTTGTAGAAATTGTAACAATTGGAACTTGGTAGATTTCCAAATGTAACAAGGAAAGGAGCAGAAAAAATACATGGGTGGTGATGAATGAGGGGAAACTGGATTCATTTTTTAAATAAAAAATCCATCTAAAATGTGCTATTGATAGCCCACATACATAAACAGTTACTATAGCATTCGTGGCTAATGATGTGTCTTGCCGAAGAAGAGTTTTTTCCAGTATTTTGCATTCATTTACAGCTAACTATGAAATGTTCTTTTTTTTTCACATTCCTAATTTGTATTTGGAGGTCTTGACAGTAGAAACTTTGGCAAATGGATCATTTCAGATGGTCTTCTGCCTGACCTGTCTATTTGCTTAATAGTGAGAGCACCCTAAACAAAGAGTGATGTGAATTGCTCTTGTTTAAATGTTCTTTATCTTCAACAAAGAAAACCTTACCTAGAAAAATTCTGAAAAAGTCATATTGGACAATGAAAAGTGATTATGGACAAAGATTTGGTTTTGTGCTAGCAAATTGTATAAAACATTGTATTTTTTTAAGTTAAGGCTAAAAATAAAGAACTCGTGAATAAAACTCCAAAGTATGGCTGGTCCGAGGAGGAGCAGATGTAATTGTATCAGAGGAGCATTCAGTATCCGTAGCAGCAGCAGTGTGAAGAGGAGACGGAGATGCGCGTTCTTTTGTACCAAGGTGCTGTTTCGATGGGGTGACGAGGAAGAGGAGGGTGTGGGGCAGAGGGTGTTTGGGTTTACCACTGCACAGGGTTCTCCTGATTTGAACCATGAGCCAAGCATTTCATTATTAGTGTGGTAAAATACACAAGTATGGTTTCCAAGTATATTTCACTATGTCATTTTTTTCTTACCTGTTTATGGCTAGTTGTAAATTATGATGGTGAGATGCCTTTCTCTATTAGAAAAAACACAGTCCATAACAGTTTTTAAAGCAAAAAAACCCCCTCATTTTTTCCCGAGGAGAGGCCTTTTGAAGTGCTGTTCCACTAGTTTTTCCTGAAGCAGTATTTTAAAAGCTGTTAACAGGCTTTTGTTGCAAAGTAGAAGTTACATAAAAAGATGCGTGGAGAGATTTATGGAATGATAACGGTGATAGTCTCTCCTGCAAAGTGCCGCTGAGGGTTGTGCTCTACTTGCTAAAATGCTCTCCAGCATTCTTACTTTGCTCTTCTGGCCCCTGTGCCAGAGAGTTTTGTGCACTGGAAGTCTGGGGGAAACCTCCCACCCAGGTGTCTCAGTGATTCCTTTGGTGGGAGATGGAGCTGGCAGCACAGAACTTGCCTCGCTTATTCGGAGTAATTTTATTTAGTTTTTAGATACTTACTGTGGTTGGTCAGAAGATGGATCGCTTCATGCAGACTGCAGTATGAATTTCACTAGTGGTAAACATCAGAAAGGGATTAAACCTCTACTGATGCACATGCCGGAGGCAGTAGATTTGGGAGATGTTTCCCATTTAGAAGATCCACAACTTATTCTTACACCTGGAATCTCAGTCCTGCCAGTTACAGAGTCCCACAGTGATACTTACATGGAACTGGAAGATGATTTTCAAACACCAGTGGAAATAATTGGTAAGGAGACAGCTGCTTTTCCATCAAAATCAGTGGAACTGTATGAACTGCCTCAGAAATCTGGAACTACTGCAGAGTCCGAATGGCTCCGGGTACCTGAATGCCCTTCACCCATGGAGATCGAGCCTTCAAGATCTGTGGGATTTCTGGAGAACTCTATCACAGCTGTTCTGCTACCAGAGTGGGACAGTGACATGTGTATTGAACAAAGAGCAAATGTTTCCGATTCTAGAATGCACTGGTGAAAAATTAAGGAAAAAGACCTTCATGTGCCCTAAAGTAAGGATGGCAATAATAATAATAATATTCACAATACTTGGTCCTGTCATTAATATACTGTGAAATTTCTGAAGTTATGCTAAGGTTCCTTTATGCAGTGGTTGAAGTTGTGTAGTAGAATTAAAGCTGTTACAGATAGGGCTGGGTCCTGCTTACTTCATGAAAGCCCGTGGTAGATCCGTGCTGAATCTAAGCAATTATAATTAAGGGACCTGAAAAGTTTAGATGATTAAGAAGGACAAAGTCCTTCTCACTGTCCCAATTATTGCTGTCTGTCTTAGGATCTTAAAAGAAGCGCTGGTTGATGGGGTTGGAAAGGCAAGGCTTCTGAGAAGAGCCACCCCCTCCTTCAGACTTCCTGTTTTCTTTCTGGGGAAACAGGAGCTCAGGTTCAGCTAGATATGGAAATACTGCCTTTTTTTTTTTCTTTTTTTTAATTAAGTGTAACAGAGTGGATGATGTGTTGTTTTATGGCTGGGATATTCTTGTTGCCTTCTCTTGCAGGATGTTACTGAGGCACATCCTTATAGTGTGCTGACTATTGCTCATTTTCTTCAGGTTCTTCAGTGGATGAGCTACACAGTTTGCCATGCTAATCCCTTCTGGAGTTAATAATTTAAATGCATTTGCTATGTTTTATCAGTTTGGAACAATATGCTTGATCTTAGTCATTTTCTAAAAGTGTAGGTACTAGTTTTGGTCAGAGCTTATGTAGATTGAGGCAGATCTGAAAATGAAACATTAAGAAATTAGGAAATATACCTCTTGGTCCTGTGGTACTCTGTCCATGTGGTCATAAAAGGTACCTGGCATTTCATAGTGCCCTGAGAGGAGGAGAGGGATTTTTTTTATTTTTCTACTGTAAAAGTTGTGCAAGTATGTATGTATACACCACCTTCATTCCCCAGAGCTCCCAGCTGACATATGAACTGTTATTTCCAGCACTCTCTTACTGTAAGAGGTGGCCAGATCACTGGTGTTACTCCAGCTGGAGTTACAAAACTCCAGCTAAAGATGCCAGGCTCCATTCCTGAAGCAATGCTGTGCAAAGTGAAAAGGGACCGGGTTCAGATGCAGTTGGGCTGGTCCTTGTAACCACCTGCCCTGGAGCCCCGTCAGCCCTGTTCTGCTTGAGACGAGAGCATGAGATAACATTTCCTGACAGTAAAACCAAGCAGGATTTCAGCAACTCCAAGGCCAGGACGTTAGGAAAACACTCCAGGAAGCTAAGCCAAATGTTAAGGCAAATCCCTATGGGAGGGTCATGCTAGCTCAGTGAAGATGTTCTTTGCAGATGCTGATTTAGACTCTCCACACTGTCAGCGTGTACTGTAGCACTAGCGACCAGGTGCATCGTTTCAGTCTGAAATTAGACCCGGAGCAGCAGATGACACAGGCTGTAACATTCATTGAATGGAGTCATGAGAATTAAGAGTTGTCTTCCTACTCAGTTCTCTGTTAGTCTCCTGTGCTTTTCTTCCAGTCTGCTTTCCAGCGAGCAATAAGAAAGCAAGACAAACCCTATAAACACCCATGATTCCCATGCATGGTTTGGCCAAAAATTACTTCCAGGCTTTCTTTTTCTGAAAAATGAGATAATAGATCTGTTCTGTATCCTCATGCCACTTCTGCCTGGCTGAAGAGGTGAATTTTGGAATCCATGGAATATTGATACCTCCAGATAGAAACAGGGCTCATCCACATTGTCTTGTTCCCTGAACACTGCTGTCACCCTGAAGTCCTGTTATATCTGTAGGATCCCACAGAGCCCAGCCAAAGTGAGAGAGCTCTGTAGTTTTAAACCGAAAAGCTTTCACATTTGGGCTGCTGGTAACAAGGCAGTTCCAGTGTGGGTCTGGGCTGAGCACAAACGCTTCACCTGGAGCTTTTCGGTCTCTCCTGAGCAGATGTATCAAGCTTACTGCATGGTCACTGCTGAAAGGGCTGTGTACGCTCCTGAGATAAAGGGGCTTTGAAAGGCTTGTTAAAACTTGCTAACCAGTCAGAGAAGCAGCTTATTGCAAGAACTCAGCTTAGTCCTCGCCCAGTTTTCAAAGCCCCCGTTCAGCTTTTGTGCTGTCTGCTCTGCCTGTCTAAACATATTTAACAGAAAAGGTTGAAACTGCAAACAAGTGGCTGACTGATGTATTGTATTCCTCAAGTGATGCTAATGCATCCCTGGATGTTCAGTTGGCATGAAATCCACTGGAAGTAGCAACTAAAATAAGCAATATTCATCCCCAGAAGCCATGCACATCTTCAGGCAAGTATGAACTCCACATGTCAGAAAACAGGCAGCTTTCATAAAACAGGCCACCAAAGTTAGGCAAAACATTAAAGTAAAATTAAAGTGGGGTAGAACATATGTAAGAGAAGTCTCCAGAGTAACCGTTGTCCTTCACCTGATAGGATTAGATCACATCACACATTGGAAATGGCGGTGCCTTTGGTGCGGATATACTTGTGGAAATGCTGGAGCTGCATTATTCAAATACTTCGCTGTGTTACAGCCTGCAGAGCACCTGAGAAATCGGTCCAGCAGCCAGACTGCAGCTCATTGGGCAGGTGGGGTGATGTGTGTCAGCCTTCAGTTTGACTTCACAGCCTGCTTTCTCCAGATGATGCAGTTACTGATGAAACTGAGCTAAGAGGAGGAATGTACAGAGGCCATTCAAAACAAACCCCAGCATGTTAGTCACGTATAACTGGGGTTTTAGGAAAGGGAGTCTGCATATTCACACTCTGAGATCACCTTCCTTGCCTCCTCAGTATCCTAATTCCAAGACCGCAGTCTCGTACCTAAGGAAGTGGCTGAGGGAACAGAGGCAGCCAAAACTCTTACTTTTACAGCCTTAAAAGAAAGAAGGGGATGTGGATGCTCCAGGGGACATTACTATAAAATACTTCCATCTTCAGAACAGCATCAACCTGTCAAAGAAATCTATGGGTGACTAAAAAGCTGTATTTCAAGTAAGGCAAAAATATTTCCTCTCCAGTATTCATGAACAAACTTGGAAGTAAAACAGCAATAGCCCAGCCAGTCTTTAAAAATTAAATTCCCTCTCCAAATGCCAACATGGCTTCCTGGGTTATTAATACTCTGCTACAGCAAGATGGTTGGTTTTGGTTTTGTTTTGAGAAAATTAGGTACCTTTCATCTTCCCTGGCCAACTGCAACATTCCAAAGGTAGATTAAAGAAAACCAGCATTACACCCACATTTTTCAAATGGGGAAACAAGGTTTAAAAAGCGCTGAAGTGATTTTTCCAAGGTCAGTGATTCCATGCATCAAGACACAAAGAAAAGTCAAGAACCAACGCTGTGTTTTCCAACCTCCAGTTCAGGTCTCCAGATGATGCTGCCACTTATGTGCAAGAGAAAACTAAGAATCTTAACAACTCCTTATGGTTTCTGTACCACGGAATACCCTGTGTTTTGGATATGGTTCCTTGGGAGTATTCAAAACAGCTGCGTCCAAATATAGCACTTCTGTACTCCCAGACTGGAGACACCAAGGACATCTCTGTCTCCCACATGCTTCTGTCGTGCATCATAGGGAGAAGACTTAACAAAGATAAGAATGGGATGTTGTTATGTGGAAACTGCTGTGAGTACAGGAATTTAAAGGCTGCCTTTGTTCTCTCTTTTTGTTTTTTTGTCAGGAGTTAACAGCCATATATTAACAATAATAGGTGCAGTAGCACATTTTGAGGTAAGATGTGGGAATGAGGAGGCTGCAGCAGCAGTTGTAGTTCGGCCATACTTCCAGTCATATACTGCACCGTATGTACAAGTACATATAAAGTAAAGGATAAAGCCAATTTATGTTCTGCAAAACAGCTGTAAACTGTACTTTTAATGTCTTTGCTCACAGCTTGATTTTAATAGGAAAGCGACTCTAAAAGATTTCCTACACCGGTCATAGGCAGAAACACATGGTGTGAGACAAGAACTTGCAGTTTCTGCACCATCTTGTTTTTAGCTTCCCACAGCACTCTTGGGCTTGACTGAAATGTTCTTGATCAGTGTTTGGCAGTGGGTTGACCCAAGTGGCCAATCACCTGCAGATCTTCATTCTCTGATCTGCACTTGCTTCATCTGATGAACTTAATTTGGATTAAGTATCTTGTTTTAATTGTTCCCTATTGCAAATGAGGTAAAAACCCTTTCACCGCAATACAATCCCATCTTGCATTTTTAAAAAAACATTTCATGTGTGAAAGACACGATTCCTAATGTCTAAATAGCACAAGCAATACTGGTGTTGGGCTTCATTGCCATACAGCAATTCCAACAGTGCTTGAGGATTAAAATTCAGAGATCGGCATTGCCTTCCAAAGATGACTCATAGCAAGACAGGCGCGTGCTTCTGTCAAGCCCTCTGCAGAAACTAATAGAACAATCTCTGCTCATTCTGATCCTGCCTGGAGTTACCCTGTGACCAATCTGTCTTGTCTTTGACTGGCAGCTGGGGGGGCATCAGCAGCAGGAGGAGATGAGCGCCTACAGCCATAGAGGCACCGAGGACACGTGGTGGCTCTCAGGAGTCAGGGTGACACTGGTCTGAGAGTTAAAGGGAGAAAAAAGCACTAGAAAGTGTCACCTGGGCTTATGGAAGGGCTGTGGCTTTAAGGAAAAAGGCTGATCTTGCTTCATCTTGGCCTTCAGAGATCAGGAGCTCATTCAGGTTTTTGTTTTCCTAAGAGTTCACCTTCTGTCCCCATGGAGAAAAAGTATTATTTGCTTCATTGCTTTGGTTTCAGCCCCCAGATGAAACCACAGCTGGAGCACCCAGATGGCTGCAGAGCTGCACGTCGAGAGCCAAAAGCCCCAGTTCATTCTGTACCCTTTGCATTTCTTATAGTGGGAGGCTTGGCTGGAACAAGATATCTGTGAATCAGACACAGTTCACTGTGAATCAGTTCCCTGTTCATGGCTCACAGATGCAATTTGCAGCTACATGATGATCATTTCCACTGACTAATAGGAGGTATTCAAGATTATTAATTAATAATTCAAGATTAACATAAACTGCCACCTAAATCTGCTCACAAAGACAGCAGTCCTGGCTGCTCTGCAGGCAAGAAGTGAGATGTGGCCCTTCTCTGACAGACTTGCAACCTTGGGCAGCCTCTGCTCCAGCTTTAGTGTCTGCTCTGCTGAGCTCTGCTGGCCCCAGCCCCAGAGCTTTAAGGGTTGTTTTTCATCTTGGACAAATGAGCTTTTTACAGTTTTTCCTCCAGCACATTTCACAGCAGACAATCATCTAGTATGTTTTGTCTCTGTATGTAGAAGTCAACTGTATTTCAAATGGGGGGGGAGAAGTAATTTTTTAAAGAACAACAGAGATGCATGTGTGCTTTATTAGATGGGAAGTTACAAGGTAGAGGCTGAACTGATCTGCCGAGAGAGGCTTTCACAGCGCTGGTCTGCTGCAGGCACCCACGGGTGAGAGGAGAAGGAGTGATGATGCCTTTGAAAACAAGAGAAGTGGTGTATTAATTACCTATGTTCTCAGCTGGCCAGAAAGCCTGTACTCAGGGGAAATCAGAGCTACCTGGGGCTGGCACAAGGGCTTTTTCCAAGAGTGAAAAGGAGAGCCAAAGCACCGAGCAGCAGTACATTAAATGACCGCCATGAATGGCTCAAGCGAGCATTTCTGTGTCTCTGCAACCCTCTGGCCACCCTCCTTATTCATATTGCACCAACTTGATACAGCTGAAAGCTGCCCTGGCTTGGCGATGGCATTGCGTGCGT